AGGAAACAAATTTGCAGAGATCCAGGATTATACCTTTTCATCGTACATAACACTGGAAATCTGAGGTAGAAAAAGAGTTTTAGCAGGAATGTGGTGTCCATCGATCACTACATCTTCGGTTGTTTCATGAAAAACATTCAAAGGAAGAAGGTTCGCCGAACGTTGAATCTCCTAAAAGAACTTTGCAATACCTCTATTCTATTAGAAAAAAGTATACTTACTGCTATGACTGCGTTCATATAATGTAGTAGACTTCGATCCGCAATGGTTATTAGCCTTTGCGAACCAATTTCTCGATCCATCTCTTCGTGGATGTTTCTCTGCACTTCGGGATTCATAAGTACGTAGAGAACTCCCCAATAAAGTGTGTTGGAGGTTGTTTCCATACCAGCAGCCCATAGATCAATGCAAGTATTTCGAAGTTGATTCATGCTGAAGTTGACAAATTAGGAATAGGTACCGTATTTGTGATTGCAAGGCAGATGTTGAAGACTTACGAAAACCCTCCGAAATCGGGTTCGTTCTCGTGACGTTTCTGTTCTTTCAGAAAAGCTTCTACATAGTCGGTACTTTTCTCACTATCAAAATCTATTTCAGCTTTATGTGCTTCTATTTGAGAATCGATCATGCCGAAGAGTATATCGTTATTTTCTTTAGCGCCTAGAATAAATTTTCGTTTTTTTGTTAATTGGTTATATTTTGAAAACTTTTGATCTATGCCAACTTAAAACTTGCATCAAACAGAAAGCAAGTAAAAATTCTTGGATATTGCGTGTTTATTCATATGGAAGATTGGATACGGCTCAGAAAAGCTAAACATTCAATACAAATTCTCTCACATTAGTTTCCTGAATTATCATTTATCAGTTATATAACAGGTTCGTCTTTGCATGTGAAGAATATGGATAACCATAATGGCTGAACTTGCTCGTTCAAATTTTCGTGAAACTTCCCACAACTTCTTAGTTGTTCTTTGAAAGATCCCACGTTATCGCAGGCAAAATGGATAAAAGTTACAACTTGTATTGCATATCGCAAGTGGAAATCTGCTTTTCTTCGTTATTGAAAATGTTTATGCAGGAGGAGAAAGTGGGAAGAGAGTTAAAACCTAGAATTTGCTGTTTTAGGTCGCTAAATTTACAAAGTCTTTTGGCAATTAACCAGTCGAGGCTGGCAGTAAAGTATTTGTAAATATAAAGTGCTATTCTTTTTTTCATAAAAGAAGGTACCCACTTAATGCTTATAACACGCCATAGCGGTTGCTCAACTATTCTGAAGAAATTAATAAAAAAATAACAGGTACTTCTCACGTCATAGAACAGTAAGATAGACTAACATAAACACTAACATAAAATGGTACTTCACCTTTATTGAAATTCCAAAAGAATGGAATATATCTCAAAATGGGGAAAAACATCCACATTATAAACTCTGGCCGAGCGTAAATCTCCATGATTCGATCTAACGTTTCTTTCAAATATAGGAAATCCGACATATTGGTCTGAAATTTGAGGAAATTATATTCCGCTTACAGATAGGTAATCTCTAAGACTTCTACCTCGCCGAAGCGATATCCGAAAAGGATGCTGTTAATAACTGACCCAACGGCGGCATGAAAATATTGACGAAGATCCAACTTTTTATTGGCATCCTTTTTGCATTTCTCCAGCAGATCGGTCACTTCGAGTAGCACCTGAGTTTCGTTCTTTCCATACTCATCCAAAGCAGTACCACAAGCGCTTACTCTTTCTTCCATGAGATTCTTTCCCATGCCAAATTCACGAAACACATGCAACATAAATCTTCGCTGTTGTTGCCATAGCTCTCCTGTTGTCTCCGTTACGCCGTAGTCGCCACCTCAAA